AATTGCAATTGTTTTTTTTCCTTTTTCTCTCTTTTTTTTTTTTTTTTTTTTTTTTTTGCAGAAATTCACTCCTGGCCATCATACCCCAAAAATAAGCATGGACATATTTATTCTCACTGTCTGGAATTAAATCAGAGGAAACTTTTCTTGTTTTAGGTCAGTTAGACTCACCAAAATGATTTCTATTTACTAAATTCCAGAAAACTTGGCAAAAACATTTAAGAGATTTTTTTTGTAACTTTCTTTGATTATATTGTTTAGGCATTTAAATTGAGTAGAAAGATAATCGACCTTAACATGATTTATTTGGATTTTTTCCAATGTAATAATGTGTCAATGAGTTGTTGAAATAAAAGGTTGGCTTATATTTTAGAACGTTAAATAACAGACTTAAGTTTATTTGATTAGAACAGTGCATGTTAATCAACATTACCACATTATTTTCAAATTATTTTGGTGGAAATTTACTCTGCCAAAAAAAAACGTAACTGAATACTTACTGTAAATATTCAGGAATTAGCACAATGGCTAAATTTTCTAACTTGTCCCAGCTTTTTGCTTGCCCCAAAAAACAAAACGCCATAATTCACAGGACAGAAACAAAAACATCAACAAAAGAAAACATTTGCACAAGAAATAATAAACCAACAAACAGAATAAAATACCAGTTAGGTGTGTGAGACATTTCTAAATTTATTGAGAAAAGTCTACAAACCCAGAGAAAAGCACACTTTTTTTAAAAATTTAAATCCAGAACATGATTTTATGCAAATTTTTTATATATATATTTTTTTATGATAAAGGGACGACGACAGACATGCTGGAGGCCCATCACCTGATGTTCTCAGTGTCCGACAATCAGCTAATGGAGAGCTACGTGGAAACCAGTGACGGACCAACAGCTGCGGACGAGCCGTTTCCCGCCCCGGCGTACACTCACTCCATCAAAGAGGAGCCGCTGGCGGTGAAGCTGGAGCCCAGCGACGAAAACTTCCTCTCTGTGTCTCAGGTGGGGACGGACAACAGAGCCGCAGCAGCAGACAAAAGTTTACTGTGGACGTCTGCAGTGGAGGAAAGCATCGACAGCCCAGATCAACCGGTCAGTGTACTTTTACAAGACGTGAAGTACCACCTCAGTTCTCCTGCAGGGGGAGCCAGTGAGCAGCAGTGCTTCACCTCACCCATAAAGGATTTGGCTTTTATAGACAACAAAGCAAAGGAGGATCCATTTTCGGCTGTGGGATTGCAGCAAAGGACTTCAAATCTAAGTCACGATCTGGCTGGAAGGGATTTCTGCTCGGAGAGCGGCGAGGGCGTGAACCAAGATGGCATCTACGAGTTTACCCTGAGAGCATCGGACAGCTTCGAGGACAGCTGCAGCGCAGACCCTGCCAGACAGAACTACATCTGCTCCAGCTGTGGGCAAAGCTTTGACAGTTTCCATATTTTCCAGGAGCATCAGTGTGAGAAACTCCCAGAGCAGCCGTTAAGCTGCGAGATGTGCGGAAAAACTTTCAACCAGCTGAGCATCCTGAAGCTGCACCTTAAGCTACATGCTAAATAAATATGCCGCTTTTATATTAGGTGCATTTTCACTGTCTTTCACTGTTTTTAGCTGCAAGAAAAAAAAAAAGATAAAACATTAATTTTACTTGTATTAGCCACATTTTTGTCACTTTAACTGTATTTGTTTTTTTATAAAGAAAAATCAAAGAAAATGTAAAGAATTATTAATACCTCATGTTTACCAACATCATTTCTGCTTTTTGTCTGTTTTTGTCTGTTGGTAAAATGTAAGAAAAGAAATCTGTTTATTTCCAAGAAACCTTCTGGAAACTTAAAGCTTAAAATCACATTTGAATCATCTGCTTATTACTTGAGACCATATTCCTAAGATATTTACAAAAAATACATATTTCCTGAAATATGAGCCCATTGCACAGCTGTGACAAAAAGAAAGTACAGCTTCTCTCAACTAGACCTTTATGTATAAGGGCATAATAAAAAATTAAATGTTCTTTTTTCCCCTCCATTTATGTACCTTTAAGTTTACAAAATCATTTTCAGTGTTATTTTTAAAACAAAGATGAAGCCAAAATAAAAATGAAAAAGCTTCATGTAGAAACTAAACAAAATTAAAGCCAAGTGGTGCTAATCAACTACACTTGATTGCTTAGTTTTAAGCAAGTGTTTGGCAGTTTGCGGCTTTGTAATTGCGTGTGTGTGTGTGTTAATACAATGTGAGAGAGGAAAGACATCAGTAATGACCTTTGAGAGACAATTGTTGCTTGGAAATTTGTAGTTGATAAAACCGGAGAGAACACGATTATTTCCATCTGCAAGTCTTCCCAGGAGTCAACGTCCCTGAAGAATCACCCACAAGTCCAAATGTTCAATGTTAAAAAAAAAGACAAAAAGCCCAACTCCAGATCAGTTTCAGAGTTCAATATTAAAGATTATTACAGTTCAGTTAGAAACAGACTAAATTAAGCTTTCTTCTTTGAGAGAAAGCAACTTCCTGTGTATTCCAGCTTCTGCCCTCTGTCCAAAAGCACAACTGTTAGTTTAACTGGTGTCTTTAAGGGAGCGTTCACACCAGTCCTGTTTAGTCCTCTTTAATCAAATTCTAGTTTGTTTGCTTAGAAAGTCTAGTTTGTTTGCGGAGGTGGTTCCTAGGTCTTGGTTCGGTTGAAGTGAACTCTGGTGCAGTTCAAATGAATATGTGAACGCCAAGCAGACTAGAGTCTGCTCCAAAAGCAGGAAGCGAACTACAGCGCAGAGCATTCTGGGTAAATACAGTCAAAACAAACATGAAAGTCTAGCGCTAGAGAGAAAGACAAAAGAGAAAGCATACAATCTCTAAAATCTGTCGCTACTCCATTTTTGTTCACATTTTCTAAAAAAGGAAGTTGCATTCAGTGTCTTCTTCAGAGGTTTTTGCATTGTTTCCTTCAGTTGTTCTTGGTGTAGCGCCCCCACAGGTGAAGAGAAGAACAGGTTCTCTTAGGGTTTGGCTTGTTTGACAGTGCAGTGTGAAAACAAACCGCATCAGCTGAAAATGTAACAAATGTTGAAACTTTGACTCCCAATCCAAAGTCTATTGGACTATCAGGTTTGGAAACACCCTAAATTACTGTTATGTGTGAGTGTGTGCATTTTTCTACACTTTTTTTTTTAATTTTGGCTTCATCTTTGTTTATTAAATATTAACAATACAGAATGTGTGTTATTGTTAGTTTAGGTTATATTTAAGCTATTTTAATACGTGAAACTCACCGGATTGTCCTGATATTTAATACCTTGGGAGTGTGTAATTTAAATTACAATGAATTTACATGTTAACTTGGCATCCTTACTGAAATCAAATCAGTCTTTGTATTAAAAAACACAGTGAAGCCCATTTATGGTGAATCAGATTTCAGGTTTTTCCATATTTTAACTGGTGTTGAAATAAGTATTTATATTATAAGCTTTTAAGGTAAAAAAAAATGTTATTCAAGTTACCTTCTGGTGAAAAGTCTGTCCAACTAAGAAAAGCAGATAATCCTGTTTGTCTTATTTTATTCAGTAAATATGTACCAAGGTTGCTAAATTTGTTTCCATGGAAACAGCAAACCTGTAATAATATAAAAGTAAGATTATGTTTTAAGGCTTCAGTCAATGTGAAAATGAAGACTAAATGCTGTTTTTGAACTGTGGAGACATTTTGTATGCATTTGGCATGAATACAGCATTATATTTACACTTTGCACATTTAAATGGATGACTAATGTTTTCTCACCAGAATTCTGACTTTAATTTCAGAATTATTAGATTAATTCTGTCAGAATTATGTCAAAAAAGTCATAATTTTGAGATTTAAAGTTAAACTTTGATCAAACAAACAAAATTTTACCTGACTGATATGAAAGATTTTCTGCTTTTTTTTTGTTATGGTTTGTACCAGGTGACAGTTAAAGTTGTTATTTTCTGGTAAAATAAAGGTACAAAAATAATTTAAACAGCAACAGATTCCATAGTCTGCCTCTTTAGTGTTATTGTCTCTTATAACTATAATGCTTCCTCATTTCTTATTTTATATTTTGTAAACATCTGATCAAATCACTTAGTGACAATGATAATCATTTGTGTTGGATGAATATGTTGAATAAGTATGCATATGGTAAATTTGATGTCTTTTTGTATTTTTTAAATAAACATCAGATGATTTCTGAAGTCTGGGTGGTTCTATTTGTTACACTTTCCCATTATTTCTAAACTGATTTTATTTTATAGAATTTATTTTACTTTTTTTGTATCTATCTATCTATCTATCTATCTATCTATCTATCTATCTATCTATCTATCTATCTATCTATCTATCTATCTATCTATCTATCTATAGATATATAGAAACTTTTTTAAAAGTTACATCAAAACATCTCACTCTTTTCCAAAATTGAGTAGCATAAAGTAAAAGAGCATTTACATGTTTTCTTCTACATTTTTAGCAGAAAATCAAAGTTAATTTTTAACATGTCTATTTTCACAGTATATCAAAAAAGCTCTAAAACACTCTAGGGACTCATCAAACTTTTCCTAAAACTTTGCAAAATTGTTTTCAATCAATCAACTTTATTTATTCACATTTTCTATTATTTATCGTTTTAAAACTACATTTTGTATATATTCAGCTTATCTTTCTTTGATATTAAAATGTGATTAAAGATCTGAGCATTAAACAAAAATATAGCAAAAACAGAATAATTGTGAAATACTTTTTCACATTACTGTATCTCAAATGGTTAATGGCACACACTTCTATACGGCAAATACGTGGGAATATGTTCCTAAAGCATTTGAATGCATGGGAAAAATAATGAGGGAAATATATATCTATAAAAAATATAATATCTTTTAACATACACTGAAAATCCTGAACTCATTTTAAGCTGATTCAAATTCAGGTAAATATAATAGAAAGCAGAATTGTGTTAGGACCCGTCCTTTGGTGTTTACTGTCCCACAAAGAGTTACCTGACCCTACATTTTGGAACCGCTTATCAAAAAAAGCTCAGATATTGCCCTTTTTCTGGACTACTGAATTAAAAGTAAACTACAGCGTCGTTAAGTCACGTTAACTGTTAAGTGGTGGAAACTTTCTTTTCCTCTAGCGGTAAATTCGAGTGCGCTCTTACTCGTGTATTTACGGCAGAGCTCTCCACCACACGGAAGAAAGCTCTAAGCTAGCTGCCACAAACACGCAGGGATGTAAAGCTTGTCTACCACGTCGTCGTATGTTTTGTTTTCAGTAATTTATCGGTACATTGTGGAAAAACGTTGGAATTTACACCTTTTTTTACCTGCTTCCAACATTAAATCTGTGAACATGGCTTCGTGCGTTCCCTTCCAGACACAGTTATCCTCAATAATGGAGGTCCTGGTGAAGGCAGCAGTGGCACAAATCTCCAAGCTGGTGGATGACAAATGTGCCTTCTTGCATCTGGAAATATCCCGCAAACAAAGCGAGAATGAGATGCTGAGGAGGAAGCTGCTGCTGATGGAGAGCAAGAATGCGCAGCTGCAGCGGGGATTCGGTAAGATGCTCAGCTGTTTTGTTTCCTTCAATGTACGAGTTCATCAGTAGCATCACTTCATTAGCCTGTTAAGATACACTGTTTTTGTAAAATCTTTGCACTCAGTTGAATTTTCTTGAAATATATGTGTTTTTGTTCTAGCTGGGGCCTAATCTTAATAGTAAAATCACTTATTTTCATTTAGAAAACTACATGGATCGAGGAACTGATTTAGGAAGAAACGTTTCACATCCCTCTAGAGACTTAAAGGTAAGTGTCTCTTTTTCTCTTTTTCTGTTATTCGAAACTTTGATGTTGTTCTTTAGCAAAATACACATGTATAAAGGCTGAAATTAATTAAAAGGGCCTAGACAAAAATAATCCCCAATGTGAACAACCTGGATTGTTGTAAAGTATGTTAAATTCAGCTCAGTTTATTAAAATCATATTAAATTAGAGTTCCAATTGAAACATATCTCTATATAATAATTCAATGCAACAACCACATATTACAAATGTTAACAGCTAGTTTTGTTGTTGTAGTTTCCTGAGATTGAAGGATCCAGTGTTTCCTTCACAATTAAGGAAGAAAGTCCAGATGAGGCGCTGTGGATCAGTGATTCTGCTGCAGCCATTGGTGAGTACAACTGTTTTTACACAAACACAACAAAAAATAAAGATAAAAATAATGCTTCAGGCACTTTCACAAAAAGGTTTTTCACCCAAATAATCTGACAATTTGATTTGTAAGAAGCTGGCATGTCTAAAGTGGGCGTTATTTCTCTTTTTGATGGATGTTCAAACTGCCTCAGAGTGTCCAAAAAGTTACACAATCTGTACATATATTTGATATATGTAGCATTTTTTAACAACTGAAGTTAGCATAGTTACTTGATTGTGCTATAGAAAGGCACCATGTGGCTGGAAAACACATAATGCTGCCCCTTCAAATCTCTACAGGCAGAAAGTGCTGACTCATGCCTTGTTTTCCAGGTACTGCTGTCCCGTATCCTGCTCAGGAGAGCCAGCAGGTCATCCATCCAGATGTTACCAGACTCAAGCCTGCAGAGTTCAGCGGCCCGTTCAGCTCCGGCCAGCCGCCAGTTGACATCAGCAGCCTTCAGTTCACAGTGAAGACAGAGAAGGAGGAGGACCAGCTGTCCTTCAGACAGGATGGATGCCAGCACCGCGTGGGGAAGCAGACTCCCACCGCCGTCGACTATCCCGTGGACGAGCGGGAAAGTCAGCTTTGGTCATCGCTCATCGAAGGGAATGAAATCGACGCCGGGTTTCCTGATTTCTCCAGCGTGGTGGAGGAATATTCCAGCTCTTTCTCTGAGCACTCGGATGCCACGAACATGGCGTCCAACACCAGCAAGTCGCCCGGTGTCCAGGAGCTGTGCAACGGGGTGTACGGCGGCGAGTATCAGAAGGACGCGCAGCTGTCGCATTTCCAGCCCCGAGCACAGGACAAGCAGAAGGAGCAGCTGTTCCTGCAACGGAGCGGCTCCCACGCCACCCAGCTGGGCCCGCCGCAGGAGGAACGGCAGAGGGAGGCGGGTGCCGAGGACGGAGCGAATGCCACCCAGCCGCCTAACGCCTTCACCACCAGCTGCTTCTACACTCACGCCCCCCAGAAACCCGTTTCCCGCGGCTACGCCTGCTCCCAGTGCGGCAAGTCCTTCAGCCGCCTGCACCAGTTCAAGCTGCACCAGCAGAGTCACAGGAGGAAGCGCACGTTCTGGTGCAGTGTGTGTGGAAAGAGCTTCCAGTGCTCGTCCCACCTCAGCATCCACCACCGGACGCACACGGGGGAGAAGCCGTACGGCTGCGGACAGTGCGGGAAGCGCTTCACGCAGCAGAGCAGCCTGCGGGTGCACCAGCGCACGCACAGCGGCGAGCGACCCTACAGCTGCTCGCAGTGCGGGAAGTCCTTCATCATGATGCACCACCTGAAGCGACACAGGATCATCCACACCTACAGCTGAGGCGCCGGCGGCCGACACAACCAATGAGAGAAGCCAATGAACCACAGATCCTTTGTTTGTTTGTTTTACTGAATCCATCTGGGCTTAGGACTGAGTATTAGGGCCACGCTAAAAACATTAAAAAAAATGAAATTATGAGAATAAAGTTTTAACATTATGAAAATAAATTCGTACAAGAATAAAGTCAAAATAATATGAGAATAATGTCGTAGCATTACAAGACTAAAGGCGTAACATTATGACTTTATTACTATATTATTTTGACTTTAATTTTGTACAACTTTATTCTATAATATGACTTCATTCTTTAAATCCTGTCTTTATTCTCATATTTATTTTATTCTTGTGCTCCTTTATTCCAGTAATATTATGACTTTTCTCCTATTATTTCGATTTAATTCTCAAAATAGTTTGACTTTATTCTAAGATTATTATGACTTCATTATTTTATTCTTATTTTTGTCATTGTTTCTTAGCATGGCCCTAACACTCCGTCGTAGGAATGGGTCCACTTTTTGTTTCATGATGATAAAAAAAGTGACAGTGAGTTGTGTGAGAAATGTCTGAAGCTAGAAATCCCAAAAAAAAAAAAAAAAGCAAAAGATGTGGGACCCTCAAACAAAACCTTCCACCTTTATCTGACTGTTACAGAGAATCTAGACCAGGGCTGTCCAAACCTTTTGTCATCGAGTCAGAAATACTTACAGGCCAAGAAAGCAGAAAAAACTATAATCAAGCTAAAACGTCCATTATTTTGTTTTGTTTGGTTTGTTTTTTTTAATAGGAAAGGAAGGAATGTTGTTTATCATAGATCCAAAACTTAAAAAAAAAAAAAATACTGTTTACTCTATTAAAAGTTAGGCATTTAGTTTTCAAGTTTCTTTTGGACTCAGTTGAATAAATTTATTCTCAATTGTCGGAACAGAATTTGTTTCAACATGTTTGCTACATTTAACCAAGTTTCTAAGTAAAATAAAAGCTGAAGAAGTGAGCTTTTCACTAAAACTCTGGATTGTTGAGGTTCTACTTATTGTCAAAGCTTTGATAAAAACACATTAATGCTTTGTGTTGCACTTAACATTTTTCATTGCATGAAAATTATGTCAGTAATAATTTTACTCTGATTACAGATAAAAACTTTTAGTTTCTGCCATCCAGTTGCGCTGAACCAGACAAATTTGTATCATTCTTCAACTGCAGTTGAGGGCCGAATAAAATCGATGCAAGGGCCACAGTTGGCCCCCAGGCCACACTTTGGACACCCCTGATCTAGAACGTGTTACACACTCCTGTCTGTGAAGCCAGATTGCTGCAAAAAATTAGATCGTATAAAATATGACTTTCAATAAACCTGATTTTGGTAAGAAAGTTACATCAAAAACTGTTTCGTTTGCATTGATAATGTTCTGAATCTTTTTATTTAGTTCCAACATTCAGTCTTCTATGGTTGCAGTTTGTCAACCTGCACACTTTAACTTGCAGAAGTTCTCCTGTTTTATCAAGTTATGAGAACAAATTTCATCCACATCCCTTTTTAAAAAAAAAATAAAAAATTCTTCTCCAATTTGACAAAATAAATCTATTTCAACCTGAAGATAAGTAAACCCTCACCATGACGCTGCCTCCACCGTGTTGTACTGTTTGATGCTGATCTTTATTTCTGTGCCAAACCTCTGCTCCATTGGACCAAAACGCATTCCTCCGAAAAGCATAAATACAGTCACCTAATAAATAGGAATATTATTAAAAGCTCATTTATTTCAGTAACTCAAACCCTTTAAAAAAATACGCACAGATTTTTGTTTTTAAAGCTTATATTTTTATCAATTATGATTTTGCACTTAAAGTTAATGAAAGCAAAACATTTAAGATTAAAATTTTACTTCAGACCAATAAAAAACACGTTATTAATACGTAATTGAGGGCTAAATGAAAAGTATTAAGTTTAAAAAGTTACTTTTAATCTGACAAACGAGCCTCATCCCAACACTGATTCTATTTTCTCAGGTGAGTCGTTTTTGAAACGGTTTGTCTGATTTTTCAGCAGAGGTGTGTTGATGCACCTGTACCTGCACAGAGACGGTTTTACTCTGAGCGCCGCATCCTGTTAGGATTTAAACCGACACGTTGTTCCGTGTTTTATCCCTGTAACACCTGACCTATAGCTCCTTTCTGTTCAGACCTCCTGAAGCATTTCTCAGGTTTTAATGCCAGCATACCAATGTCCACAAAATCCCTTTGTGTTTTACATTAAACAGACCTGAAAAACAAACTCTGTGTTGACTCTGATTTAAAGGAAAAATGTGTTGACCTTTTAGAAATGCTCAGGTCTCTGAGTTTCTGAAGTTACCTTTTTAATTGGAGGTGCACTGATTGTAGTTTTCTGGCCAATCGCTAATCTTTAATTTCATTTTGATACTGTTTTCTCTCTTTTTTTTTTAGAATAACTGATATTGTCAGGGGTTAAATTGTGACAATACACCTCAAAGTCACAATCTTATTTTATTGAAAAACACTGAACAATATCTGTGAAACAATACAAACTTGTATTAACTGCACATGAGGGAAAACTCTCAAATATAAATGAAAAACTTAGAGCTTTGAAATTCCAAACTCAGAAATTTTCCAGTCTAAACATTTTCTGAGATTAACCTCAAAATGTCTCAGTTTTTTTTTTTTTTTTGACAGAAATGTTCTCCTTTTTTAATCTCTGTGTGCAATGGCCGTAAATGTTGTTGTAGACATACAAACAGTGGGGAAGCTGAAATGTTTTAAATGTTTGTGCTAATATTTCACCTTTATTGAAGCTTGTAAAAAAAAGAACAGCAGAGGGCGCTGTGACCCATCATTTGGATGTTAGAAATATCTTTGTTCTTTGCTTATTTCTCATCTGACCAAATCTATAAATCATGTTGATCCACATAACTGGATATTTTCTCTTTTTTTTTTATAAACCCAAGCTAAAAATATGGGTGTGTGAAAGTAGATAATTTTTTCCTGAAATACTAAGAGCAGCTTGTCTGGCCTCATAGTTTTTTAACTTGATTTCCTTCACATTTTGAACAGGTGTGCATAATAAAACTTTTCTTTTTCCCAACTTTGATTCGTGCAAGTAGAAAGTTTCTAATCAGGATTTCAAGCTTTCAATCAGCTTTAAACGTATTTTGCTTTTTGTTTTGCTCGTTTTAAATTAATCTCCTCTTTCTCGAAGCGTTGGCGTCACTCTGCTTGTCCGACCTGAGAGGTTTCTCAGCTCTGCCGGGATCGATCTGTCCTGGTCTGGTCAGCACTTCCTTCTTCTGCAGACGCTATCTAAACAAGTTGTAAAATAAATGAAGCAGCTGTCATCGTGATGTGATTTCAAAGGATTCAGCGAAACGCTCTTGGAAAAACTGGTGTAGATTTACAAAGCAGTAGAAAAACTATTCACCCCTGTAGATTCATATTTTTTTGCTTTTTTTTTGTCCCTCTTGAACGTTTCAAATTATTATGTATATTTTAAAAACTGTGCAAAACACCAACAGCTTTACAAATTCCTGCATATTCCACTGGTAGATTATTTCATTATTTCATTTATAACTAAAACTTTTTCATGAATATAAAAGAATTAACTTAAAACAAAGTGAAAAGTTACTTTTAAGTTAGTTTTATTTTATTTAAAATGTTTATAATTTCACAGAAACTGGACCAAGAATACATTTTGTGTTTTAAACTTAAATCTGACCTAGAAGAGATACTTTATGTTTGGAAACTCTCCAGAACTAAGACAGTACTGCAGAGAAGAGTGAGCCAACATTTCTCCATAGTGACATGAAGAACTAATTGTTGGTTATTTACAGCTGTCAAGTACAGCAATGTTGTGTAATTTCCAAACATTCTTCACTAACAACCGTCTGACTTCGTCCTGCATGCTGATACTTGTGATGTCCTGATCTGAATAACAACATCCCTGTCTGTTTTTCTTCCAAACAGTTCATCATTTCCAGCAGCAGATTCATTTTAAATCAAGTATCTGAAGATATATTTTTATTCAAAGAATTTAGTATCAGCACCTGCAGAGAAATGCTAAAGTGAAAAATGTTTTGCAGAGCTGCGCCGTTATCATCAAAGCTCTGAACTGTTAGACGCTTTTCTGTGACGCAGGAAAACTGATATTTTCTGTAAGACTGGAAACAATCAGAGCTAAACCATAAGGAGGTTACAAGCCTCCCTTCACAGCGAGCACAGCTGCAGCCTTGAACTTCACTAAATTAGTACATTTTGTTCGGACACCTGGAGCTCCTCCTTTCAGCTCATGAAATTCCCAGGACCTTGTATGGCCATAATAGAAAACGGAGCGTCATGGAAACTTTTTTCCCCCATCTTGAATAAGAAGCAACGGGATATAAACTAAGAAAGATAATCGAAACAGAATTAGAGTGAAGTGCCCACGAGATCAAGCTGGAGTTTATACACCGCAAATAGTTCTGGTTTAGTTTCTAGTAAAAACATCTTAGTACACTTGAAAAAGACAAAACTAACTTCCATGTAAGTTGTCAGTAAGATATAGACGTTTACTTTAAGTAAATAATTCCTTATTATTGATTTAAAAAGTACAAGTTCCACTGGCAGATTATGGCACCAATGACAAAACATATTTCCCAGGTATGGGTGAAATAATCTGGCAGTGGGACTATTACGTTTTATAAAACATTTCAGAATTATTTACTTAAAATAAGCTCCTTATCTTGCTGAAAACATACCTGTAAGTGAGTTTGGTCTTATTTCAAAGCTAGTTTCTAGTTTTCCTAGAAACTGCATCAAAAACATTTGGTAGATTTTGAGTTTTTGAGGTGAAAATAAGGAAAATAGAAACAAACCTGAAGATTCATTGTAATTGCATAAAAATGATTTTTGGCACTTTTCCCAAAAGGATAAAGTAGTTTTAAAAGACAACATCTAAACTGTTTTTGGAGACGTTTCAGATGCTTCAGATACAAAACATATTTTATTGGAGCCGAGTACAATAAACGTGTACAAAACAAAGATGACTGTTGAATTCAAAGAAATAGTTAATCATTATTTTTGTTGCATTTGTTGCCATATTAATAATATTTTGACATTTTTTGTATGATTCTGTTTACTTTTGATAAAAGAAGAAATTTTCCTGTCTAACAAAAGCATTAAAATTTTGAAACATAAATAACTTTTGGTCTTGATGGTTTCAAAGTAATCTACAAAATCAAAAACTGCAAATAAGTTTTGAGTTATAATATTTGATATTATAGTGTATGATATCAAATAGAAACCACCTAAATCTGTAACTTAACGTAGGTAGTGACTAACAACTGCTGCAGAAAGATGCACAATTCAACATTTTCGACCTTACATAAGAGCTAAAAAACTTAAATTTGAGGCACAAAATCTCTTTGATTCCAGGTAATTTATTAGAAAATTGAAGCCATGATTGTAAAAATAAAGTAAAACTGACAAATACTCATTGACCACATTTAAATACACTGACGGTCGCGCTGTGTAGGCTGTGTAGACTTAAAATAAGTCTCTAAACAACCCGAACCACCACATAAATACATCTCATAAATATCTTAGTTCCTTTTGCATCTCACTTTTACAATTGTCAACATTTCAGACGTGCAGTGAGTTGTTCCACTTTGTACCGATATTAGGGAATGTTACAGCTTTGACAATAAATAATTGTAAAATAAAGTTACAAAAATGCTGAATTAGTCAGGTGAACACAGTGCAAAGCAGCACAGCAGGAATCTGTGAAAAACTACAGTCTGTAAAACTCAAGTATGAAGAGGAGTGTGTCAAAGTCGATTTGTTCAAACAGTATTTGACTTATTTTAAAGTAACAGTCAGAAGAAGTTTTTTTTCTATTACTGTTCTCGTGGTTTAAAACTGTAACATTTACAAATCGTCGTCGGGTTTAGGAGTTGTTCTTGTCTTCGTTCTCGTCGTCGTCGA